AGCTCCCACACATCACTTCCACTGGGCAATAACCACTGCGGTTCTGTTTTTCTTTCAATGACAGCTACAACCAGGAAAAGGGACGGGCATTTGCATTCTTTCAGCTTTTTGCTGTTAGACACTGATTAAGACCCAAGTGTAAGAGGGAATTTGCCTTCTAATCCAAATGATTCCATCACAAACAGAATGAAAAGAAAGAGGATCGATCGTGAGGCCGACTAGAACAGCAGTGGGTCCAGGCTGGTCTAAGTGAGGATTCAGAGGAAGAGGTGGCTACATCCCCCTCTGCTACAGCCAGGTGACAGGAACTGTGGGAGATCAGGATTATCCTGCCACCACCTTAAGGGGATTGGGGCACTAAGCAGACCTTCTTTTCCATTCAGGATACTGGAAAGAGCAGGGAAGCAGGGTGGATTACAGTATCTGCCCCTCAGGGTAGGCTCAGGTCTTACCCCAGCAAGGCGGCTGTGATGAACACCACCCACAGGTGTCCCAGGCCAAGGGTGAAAGCGTACACGATCATCCCAACGAAGGACATCAAGTATACAGCCAGCGTCGTCTGTCTGGAGAAGGAACCCCCAAAAAAAACAGTCAGGAAAGAGTGGTTGCATTTTTTCCATTCAAGTCTCTCTATGTACAGTTTATGTACACGTCACAAGAGGTCAAAACCTCCCGGATGTATGTTTGTAACAAACCCAAAGTAAATAGCAATAAAATTGCACAAGCGAAGAATTTCAGAAAAGTACTAGATCCCTGGATTGAAATAAAGTGCCAGGGGAGAGCTTCTGAAAGTTTGAGCAGGCCTAACTGTGACAATGATGATAATCCCAAAGAAAACAGACTTCAGGCCTCATCAGCACTGCCAACACAGTCACACATGAAGAGGAAAACAGGACTTAGCTGAGTTCTATAAACCCTAAACTATTCTTATCACTGGTCTGTTGTAAACAGCCCTGTTACCGTATTGTCTGGAGTATAGGGGTCATTCCAATGATTTTTATTATTATTTGAGAACGAGAACATTTTCTCTATGTTCTCTATGAAGTGATATTTTGTTAATGTCAAATGTACACCTTTCTCTGTGGACATTTCAAACTTAATCACTGCTAGGGTCAGCAATTTATTCGTATTACTGAAGACACCTGTAAAATAGGAATCGAAAAAGTCTCGGCCATCTGGTAATTCTTAACTACAGACCCTTGTCAGACTATACAGAAACTGACAGTGCTGTCAACGAGGATACAGGAGAACAGTATTGCATTGACAGCTGTTCAACAGGAAATGAAAGACATGAAAACTAGAAGTGGCCCTTTTTTTGTGGAAGGGTATTTTACGGGCCTGTATGTACGAATCTGTGCCAACGAGAAAGAAAGAATATCAAGAATGTTCTTTAATGTACTTATGGTCTGGGATAAACCTTTCCCCAAGCACACACTTAACACAAATGAACAGATGCTGGGGAAAAAGACAGCTGAACCCTGAGGACAGCATGAAGCAGCTGGATAATCAACCCCAACCCTCAAGAAATACTGAAAAGAAGTCATTTGGAGCCCTGAAAGCAAACTACTAAGACAACAAGTCTTCAGAGTAAAACACTACAGAGCTACATGAAACCATTGTTCGTAAGAGGTAAAGATGAATCACTGGGGAGAGTTTATGTATTGATTCTCTCCTGTAATAGCTGTCAGGTTATTTTAGTTCTAATTAGTGAAAATGATTTTTTTCCCCCATTAGTCCTTCAAATGACTCAATGAGCAGAAACCCCAGATCAAGGTTGTGTTCTTTCCCTTGCCTTACAGGTGACACTCTGTTTATTTCTTCAGGTGCTGACTAATTAAATGTGGACCTATTGTATGGACTGTTGGGGAGGAGTGCGACAGTAGCTGGATAATAAAACAGTTCAATTTAAAGGCTTGTTTTTCCCAACATATTTGTGCCAAGGCTATAGTTTGTGCGAAGTGCACGGCAAAGACTTTTTTTTTTAAATTTAATACTATGTAAGATATGCCAAAAATTAAATCCCTGTCTTTAATGAAAAGGAATTGTTAACACCAGCAATCCAAAAGGTGTCTAAAAACATCTTGAACACGTAACACTACAATTCTTGAAGATATGCAAAAAGAAACGTCCAAGAGCAACTCTGTTTCACATTTCCAGTGGCTGAGCATCACCTGCAGATGTTTTTTTCAGTGTGTTTGCTTTTGTGGGTGTAAAGGAATTTCAGAAAAACATCTCGAAGGTCCTATAATCTTAAGTGATATACAGATCAGGATATCAGCAAATACCCTTTTCCAAACTCATCATACAGTATAGAGAAGTGTTACAAGAACAAGAATGTGAATTCCAGGAAAATATTGCTTGCTAATGCTAATATCTAATGTACCAGTGTAAAAACAGAATTTGTCCTATATCTACTATTGATTTACTATTAAATAAGCCTGAGGTATGATTATTAACACTGTACCAGTATTAGCAAATCCTTTTATCAGATATTAAGTGTATAATTAATTGAACTATATAGGAAAATAGTAGCTCATTATTGCTTTATATTTCTAATGAATTTGAATGAACTGAATATTAGGCTGCTATTTTTAACAGCCTATTAGGTCACTGCTCTGTGTAACAAAGCGGTATTAATTGGCTTGCTGGAGGAATATAAAGTATGTCACAAAAACAACACACAGAAAGCAAAAAAAAAAACAAATCTTGGTAAGAATTCAATATCGGCTCGCTCACGGAGGATAAGCAACCACCTAATTAAGAAGGTGACCATCCGGCATTTACGAAACCCAAGCCAAATAAAACTTCCTATAATCCCTAGCTAAATCCACAAAGGAAAAAAATTCTGTACTTCTCCATGAGTTTCCACGCTTCGTAACCCAAGGATTTAGCCGGAAGGCTGTTTGAATAAAAGCTGTCAACCTCTATTGGAATGAAAATCTATCGGATGTGGCACTAGGTTTTTCGGGATCTTCCGAGAAGCTTGCACTGGGAGAAAAAAAACCTCTCCAATTCATCCAGCCACGAGCCTTTGGAAAGGCGATTTTAAAGACAATTCAAGGGCAACGAGCCTTATTGACTGGAGGGAAGCGACAGTCCTCAGTCCATGGTGAAAACAAGTCTTTAATGAGAATTAGAAGGCAAATGAATACAAACTCCATTGCACGAACCTCAGTAGCACATATTGGGTAATATTTGCATATTATGACTATTATGGAAGGTTTGGGCTATGAAGAACATCAAAGTAATAAATAAGAACAGGATATCGGATTGTTTTAATAGAGTTTACATAATTTAATAGTGATTGCATACGTGGCTGTACCTATTCACACAATCTACTGTACGATCCTACAACGGTAAAATCTGTCCATTTCCAATTCATGAATAAGGAGCATTTCTAAGGTGCTGCTATCTGTTATGGTAGTGTGAGTCCCATTCTAATAAATCCTTTTTCCTTATTTGCATACTGTACACTGATGTACAGTAGACATCACAAGAAAAATTGATAATGGGGATGTGTATTTTAACAGCATGAAACATATCAGTTGCTGGTGAGAACAGTGAAGGTCTGACAATGGGGAAAATGTCTTCCATTCCCGTATGATTGATATGTCGTTTTTTTCTGATGTATTGGCATTGCTGTGTTAGCAGGGTATTATAGAGAAATCATCAGAAATAAGGTAATAAATTCTCATTGCTCATGGCAACAGGTACCAACTTGATGGAGTTTGTTAAGGTGGTTGTCAGAAGAAAGGTGACTTAACTAATAAACTAGATTTTATTCCTTTAAACTGCAAAAACTAGATTAGTTTTCCACAATTAATCACAACACAAGACAAATGCTTCAGCTTAACAGGCAAAACAACTGTAGCTCTTTATCAGACGCAGGCAAAAACAGAGCAAAGACTTGGGGATTGTTCAGGCTAAATTGTCCTGCATCACCTGGTTACTAGACCATTACAGTGAAGTGTGGGATACTGTCTGAGACGAGCCAATTATTGGTGCTAAAATAAAATATTAATTTTCCTTTACTTTCAGTGTTTGCCCCCTACAGTCTATCTATCTGTTAATGATTTGGCGATAAGCTACATTTTTCTTCATTATGGATTGTATTTTGTAATATTGGTTAACTTGAGCATACTTCTTTTGACTGCCTTTCTCCGGGAGTCTGAAGTGTTATTGAATTTCTCTGCAAGAGGCAACGGATGTTTCGAGCGGCAATCGGAAAAGCAGTCTTACTTGTAGGTTTTGGTTTTGTCGAGCCAAATGCCACAGATGAGAGAACCCACCATACCAGCAATGACTAAAGTAAGGCCAATCCTCCCAGCATTCACCTCCTCACCCTGGGGAGCAAACACAAGGCTCATGTTTAGCCAGAGTTCAGTACCTGCTTTTTCGCAAACATGTTTAAGCAAATCTTAACACTCCAGGTTACTAGTTACATAATTTCTCATTTTCGTTGATATGAAACAAGTAAAGCTGTAAACAAACCCGGTTTTTATAGCACACGTTCACGAATAAAGCTTATGATATCTTGTAGTACAGGTTTCAGGAACTCCGAAGCTCTGAAATTAATCGGTAAATTCTAAACAAAATCGGCAAGAAAAACATATAAATAAAACTTTGTTTCCTGCACAAAGAGTTCTTTGTGTAAATCCAGGCAGTAGAATGCTTGAAAGAGGAAAATGAACACTGAAAAACCAAGTGAACAAAGAACACAAATAATATTAAAAAAGCCTACAAAAAGTCAATTCAAGACAATTCAAAGAATTATGAGCTTGTGTGAACTGGAATTCAATGGGACCAATGTGACGTTATTGGGATATAAATCCCTCTATAAGCAGAGATTGATTTGAGTTCCACTGGTTAAATCCCTTCACTCCTCACCAGAAGAGGCTTTTCTGACTGCCCTGTGTGGAAAACACAGAAGGCAGAGGTGAGACTAACTTGAATCCAGGGACTTACAGGGTAGTGCTCAATAATCATCCTGTTCAGCAGCGTGGATACAGCATAAAAGCAGCCAACGTTTAATCCTGTATGAATGAAAGATGTGCAAGATTAGATGCAAGTATTCCTTTTACAAATTAGCATAATATACACATACAGATGCACTTATATACTGTATACAACTGAGTAACCCTACAACCTTGCTACTGTATTTCTTTCATCGGCTTCACTTTAATATGTTGCTGTCCAGATAAACTGCACAATTATATAGTGAAGGAACCTACGCCTGTTAGGAGTTAACAATTAGGCCCTCAAGAACTGTTTTACTATTTTGTGCATTCCCAGCTGGCCTAACGTTTGGAGGTGTAACTCATGTATCCTATATTTAGTTCAGCAACATGAAAGAGAACAGAGTTCTTGGCTAATTGTCCAAGGCTGACTTAACTGCCTAACTTTCTGACCTTGTTTACACCTAGTACGGTAACAACCCATGACACACTCATCATAAAGAACGTATGTTTTTGTATGGAAATTTTGCTCAAGATTAAAAGCCTGCTGCTGTCCTAATGAAAGTGAGCGAGAGATGAGGTCAACCTGTTAACGTCATCTGTCCTCCTGTCTTTATTGCAATAACGAGATCTCTAGCTTGATTTAGTCCTGTGGTTTGCGGAGAAAAGGGTCCAACAAATTACGAGGACTCTTCTCCCAGTGACATTAATCCAGATTTACACTGTTCCTTTCCCTGTATCTGGGTAAAGGGTCATACAGCCACACTACTGACCTTGACATAGATATTTGTTCTGAAACAGTTGTTTGATGTATATGGCAAAAGAACAGTGCATTCAGCCTTCAGAACACAATAAAAACATACTCTGAGCCAGGCCAAGAAGCAGACCGCAAAGAGCAGGGGATTATAGCTGAGAGGTCTGGGAAACTGCACCTTTCAAATAACAACAGCCTTCATAGTGTGGATCCAAATATTACTGTGGGAATTACAGCTCATGACAACACCACCAAATCCATCTGTGCTGCATTTCAAAACTCAACGAGAGGTGTACAGAGGACAGACATCATTTGACCTCCTCTGCAACTTTAATGTAAAACACCTGATCAAAACAGGCATTTATTTGGCCAAGAAAGGCATGCTTGGAAAATATCGTTTTTAGACTTTGTCTAATTCCACAACAAACTAAAAAAAAAAAGATACTAGGTATATGTTCAAGTTTTTGTAGGTTTAATTTAACTAGAAATTCATTTTTGTCAAACATCAGCTAAATAACCCTTTACCCTTGAACTCTCTGATCATAAACATACTTACAAGCATGAAAAACTAGCATAACACTATCACTAGTGTAAAATGAAATGTTGGCACAAAGTTTAATTTTATTACAGCTACAGGTAACAGCTTTGTTCCAATAAGACTTAATGGGACTGTCTACATTTTGTCTTAAAATGACTCATGGTATATAGCACAATTCAATCAATACACAACAGAACACAACAGAATTCCACTCAGGGTTCAGGTTAATAAATTATTTGCAGAAAAAACAGTGCTGTCACTACTAGCAGCTGTGCACTAGGTAATTCTGGCACAATATCTCAATTCCTCTGACATGGGAGATTTTGCATAATTATTTTGCATAATTTCTTGATAGCATTGATAAGATTAAGCTCTGCTGCAGTATTCAGGGTGTGGTTTTTACAGGGTTTGTTGATCCTTGTCCCAGACAGGTGAAGCAGGCTGTTGTATATATATATATCAGTTTTTGAAGACAAGGTGTAATTTGCCACTTAAGCAGATCTTCTGTTTAGTGCTGTTATTTAGGGATCCTTTAGAGAGATAACACTGGAAGACTAGAGAGGTCAGCTCATGAGCAAACAACCTGCTAAATTGGTCAAAAACATCCATCTGTTACAAATCTTAACAAACTGATGAATAAGGGAGGCCAATAAGATTTGACCACCTCTGCTTTGGAACAGTACAACAGGCTAGTTAGTTTGAAATCTTTCTGGTGCATGAGTAGGGCTCCAGAGCCTGGCTGGCTCCTACACTCCCCCACAAACCCGAGATCACGTCCGCAATTTCATGAGCCATTGAGAAATAAACCAAGAATTCTGTGCTCTTCTGGTTTCAGCCGCTAAAGGCTCCTACGTGGAGTTTAGCAACATTCCTTGCTGTGGCCTAATGGTGGCTGAATCACCTGACATGATGCACTTTGTCAGTATAACAGAGTGGAAGAGCCTGGTTTCTGGCAAAACCATGATTTACCAGCTGGCCTCTACTCCTGTTTTGTACTGATGAAGGGATCAATGTGTGTTTCAGAGTCTTCCTTCATTTTTTAATCCTGATGGTCTTTGTATCCTGTATTCTAAGAACCACAGCATCTAACCACAGTAGAGAAGGGTCTTGATTGAGGAGAACAAGAATTTTGAGACTGAACAGGGACATCTCAAGAAGAGTGAAAGCTGCAGGCTGGGGTATCAGTGAAATGCCCTGCACTGTTTGTTCTACACTCCTGGGGAGGATGCTCATATGTGGGACTGACCTACATTACAGACTAGAGATTTCGTTGCCCCCCACAGGTGGCAATTCACAGAGAATTGAGAACAAACTCAATCCAGTTGGATTACAGACTTCTCCTTCCATAAAATATGACAGCAGGCTCATTGATACCCAGAGGTCCAAAGTAAGATGAGACCTGCCTGCTATAGTGGAAACAGCCTGTTACAAAAAGCGAACAATGAAGCCTATGACATTTGGAGCAAATGATATTATTTTCCCAAGGACAGGTCGGGGGAGTCTGCCTGCACTTCTGAATTCAGAACTGCGTGGGCTCATAACAGAACAGCCTGAAAATAAACTGCTTGGACTACGTGACGAATCCATCGTAGGCCAGACCATCCCCTGCTGTAGCTCTGGGACAGCGGACTTCACTACCAGATTTTGTTCATCTTCCCCAACAAGTTACCTAACGTCTGGCAACAATGTCAATGGCTGGCATTGCTCCCTCAAAAAGTCCTAATTATATAACAGCGAGGGTCTTACGATGGTTAATATTGCCTCAAAGGTTCCTTCAAGGATAAAAGGGACATGGCTAATGTACCACGGTGAGGGAGTTTACCTTCAGGACTCTCTCCTTGGGAGTTAAACGATCTTTCATGACGTTCTTGTTGGTTTTGCTCCTGCCTGGCTCCAGATGTTTGGCTGCACAGTGAAGCTCGAGGCCGTGTTTGTGAAGCCCCCTCCTATTACCCTGCGCTAACTGCCTTCAGCAGTGGAAATGCTCGATTTGCATCAGGAGCTATGTTATCTCCAAAAAGCACGAGAGGAGGAAGGAAAGGCCGCAGAGGCAAGGGGAAACTGCACGCTTTGAGCGACAGCCAGCCATGAAATTCAGGACCCAAGACCCTGTTCCAATCAGTTGCAAAGCAAACCAGAAGAAATCCAGCATCTGAGCAGTTTATGTGGGCAGTTATAACCCCCTCTAACTGTAACCTCTAGACCTGGTTGAGGTCTCCTCAGTCTCAAAGGGATTCTCTTTCCAATTTCTCCAGAGCTGCAGATTATTAGGGTTCTAAACACCCCCCAGCTCCCCCACCCACCCCAGGAGGAGAGCAAACATACCGTAGGTGATGATGAGGAGGATGAAGGGTCGGTTGCTGAGGAGACGCAGGATGGACTGAATGTAAGAATAGTTCTCCGGGGGGCAGCTCCTGATGGTAGCCTGAGCCTGCGTAGGGGGAAGATCCGGCTTCTCCTGAAACACTTGAGGACAGCGGGACAGTGTCAGCCCCAAGAGAGACCCCTCTGAACCACAGGTGCTCAACAGGCAAGAAAGGTCTCCTGAATCCATAAATGTTCTCTGTTCATTCTGTTCTCCTCCCCATCATTTTGCCAACCTAGATCACACTGTGGGTAACTGTGCTTTAGCTCAAAAACACTCCTTGCACTTGCAATTATTGGTTGCATGTATGCTACAAAAACATGGCCACTTTGTGTTAGAGCTTTAAAGACCATGTAAAGGAGAAGGCTGGGCAACACAGAACAATTAAATTCTTAAACAAATCCAAATGGCAAACAAAACCTTTAATGGTCACTTGCACACATACCTTTAACGTTTGTTAATTCAGCTGTAAAATAATTGGAAAAAAAAACATTCTATTTTCATCGGGATTCTTATTATTTCCATCAATTTTATCAGTCCACACTGATTGCACACTAATGACAGAGGCAAACTGTCATGAGTGACAATAAAATCACTGTCCAGGGTGATTTATACTGCAGTTAGTCTGAAGACTGGTGAACCTTCTGATACAACATGGGTCCTGTTCTCTGCAAGGCATCAGCGGAATGTTTGCCTAGTTTTATTGTACTCCATATCACTATGTGAGCTGCCTAAACAATACAGTTTGGAAGCTCATCGGTGTGCTATGCATTCTAATGTGAAATGGCCACTTGCATCATGCTGTAAGGGCTAATGGGAATTTCAGCGCTTAAAGGATCACCACCTCCCAGTTTTGTGGCCAACGGGCTGTCAGATCTGGAAGCTCAGTTAGGCCCGATAGACTGTGAGACTCTCCGAATAGCTGGTCTAGCATTGCTTTTGTTATCCAAGCAATGAAATAGAGGACACAAACAAGCCAGCTGTCTCCTGTCACTCACTTGCACACAGATGGCCATTCATCCAATAAAACAGCCGCAGGAACAGCAGACCTCACAGAAAAGCACTTGCGTCACAAAATGCCTCTACATCCAAGCAGATGTGAAATAAGGGCAGATGTCAGTATGTGCAGTTGCAAATCACCAGACTTCTCCCCGGGGTTGTTTACACATCAGGACCTATGACAAGCTTTCCAAATAGATCAGTCTTTCACATTTGCCATGGAGCTTTCATCTCTGCAGTTAGTACTTTTATTTCTCTTTCACCACTCTTGCATCTGAGTAATACAGTCTTTGAAATGCCCCAGTGCCTGCAAAGTACAAAGAACACTGAGGCACAGCTGCCACAGTAGGTGTGCATGGCAGTCCAGGACAGGTCAGAAAGCCTGGCTGTTGGCCAGAGAGCATGCTGGGACAAACAGCTGGCTGTCACAAACATTAGATTTGTTTCTGATGTTGACGAGCCCACTGTACAGTTGCAAACTCTGCCATACATTTAAATAGTGAGTCTCTCTAAGCCAAAGTTCTCGTTTGGCCTCTGTGGTCTGTGAATCCAAAAGGTATTTACTTTCTCCAATTTGTTTCCATTTGTTACTAAATCATTTATCACGGATATTTATACTGTACAGTACATGGACCTACTGTATGTGTGACCCCTGCATAGTTCCAACAGGACAAGCCACCTGTAACTTGTCAAGGAAATATAGAAAGGAGATAAGACTCAGAAGGACTGACATTTAAGGTGCAGATATATTTATCTTAGTGTGCTGTGAGTCACCATCCATACGCTGTGTATAGCAGTGTAGTAGCTGGGCATCCAGATCACTAGGCAAACACAGCCACGTGGCTGCAGTGCTACGTTCAGCGATTCATGTGTCTGCTCTGCTCTGAAATGACAAAGTCCAGCCGCTGTTGAGCAGTCACCTCACAGGGCTACAGTTCAGACAGACCTGCACAACGTTTCAAACACTGATTCGGTGACACGCTGGCAGAATTCGCTCATACCGTACACACCCCTGTCAACTGCTTGGCTTGGCCTCATCTCGTGGGCATTATCACTCCATGGCAAGAACTGGAAAACCCCACTTACAAACTTTAATAAACAGATGAAGATTCGCACAGCATGAGTCAGCCTTCACAGCCATAAACTGCTCAATACAGAAATCATCTATTCATTGAAGACATCCTTAATATAAAGCAATGAACAATACTACCTCAGTGGTTTATAACTCACAGATTTAAACTGATCTTTTTTCTGCTTACCTTAAAGGGGAAATGCAATGCTATTTCTATATTTTGGGGTTAGAAAGAATAGGCATTTCAAACTACAATGAAAGTAAAATGTACATAGTAATTTGTAAAACCACCAATTTACATCACAAATTAGACAAACCTTCCATATTCTATGATTCAGACCTAGACAACCAAACTTCTAATGAAGTGAACCAGGCCTGTTATATTGTAAACAAGCAGGCTTGTGAATACATCCAAAGAAATATTGTTCTTGACTTCACCACAGTTTTGCTCACAAATACTACCTACTAGATAACTCTGCATTCAGATCATGTTGGAACATTTCTGTGGCGAAATGTCTGCTTTACAACCTGTACTTACTCGCTCATACTCACATTACATTAGTCAGTACAGTGACTAGTGAGCAGGAAGGGCCAATTCATGTCACAATTTTCGAAAACTTTTGCTATCACCCGTGGTGAGACCAGGGGTTTGAGACAAGATGACAACTATACACGACATTCACAACGTTCACAATTTTGTGCCTAATTCAGAAATCGTAACATTTTGCAATACCATCAATAAACGTATTTTGTTACGAGATTTAATGACCAGTTTAAGAAATTGTATCAGTTCCCCTCTAAATAAATACAATAATTATATTTAAAAATTAAGAAAAAAAGGTAACTGTTTGCAATTTGTGGATTATATCTTATTTCCTGTTATCTTTTTCTTTATTCTAAAATCTGAGTGCAGTAGTAAGTTTTGTCACACTCCACTGAATGTGTCACTATTACCTAGCTTTACAATTAAACATCTCACGTACAGGGCTCCATAGAGACACTGTCAGTTGAAACACTTCCTTAATATGGCCTTAATATAATTCCTTCCTTAATATAATCAGAACTGATTATAAAAGTTACAGATTATCAATTGCTGAGATTGACTCTATGTCTAACTTTCAATAGTGAACAAAACTTTTTAAAAAATACTATCAAATCGTCACAGAAACAAAGAGTAGCAGTGTTTTAATACAGAGGAATCTAAGAAAAGCAAATAATGTACAAACTCCAAACATAAGGGTATTCTTTATATATGATCACCAGTCAAAGCAACACCTGGTGTATGTGTGGAAAACTCTAAGACAAGGAGAAAGATCATTTCCTTTTCCAGCCACTGATTCAGTTGTGAACAGCAAAGTGTCTTTTTGCTTTAATTCGATTATTTTTACACACCACTAACACAAAGATCAATCAATCAGGAAATTGCATACCGTACAAACTGTACACATCCATTGTGTTTAACAACTTTTTGGTTTGATCACAAGCATCCCAGGAGTACCATAACCCTAATGCAGAGTAAAACTGAGCTGTGGCAGTATCTGCATTGACATCACTCACACATGTACAGGGCTCTAGTTTCACAGGCGTGGAGCAGTGAGGGCTGAAGAGCACCAAGACATTCCCAGCTCCGCCCTTTCCAAGTCCTCTCCATTCACTGGAGAGTGAAAGCCGGCAGCCACTACCTTGGCAGGCAGAGGCGGCTGTAACCGATACCTCGCCAGTTTCTAAACGTAGGAGCCGAAGAGCTTGGGAGTTTCAGAACAGTCACAGGAAAAGCTCTGCAAGGCTGCCTCTGTGAAAGCGCCATGTGACTCCTTCTCTCCGGGTGCAGATGTTCTGAACTGTAAATAGCACTGTGTGTTTGTTCAGCAGCTGTTTTCAAAGTTCTGGCAAGCAGAAGTTCATGAATGGCAAAGTCAGAGCAGGAGGGGGACTCATCCGTCGTGGTGAGCTTCACATCTGCCCACATCCTGTGACTGCACTCGGGAGGACTGTACTCATCCCGAAGTCAAAGAATGAACAGCACAAACAGCAGGCCGACCTCGCACTGTAACGGCCCTCTGCCTTTGAGATTAGAGAATTAGCAGCAAGGCTCTTTTCCAATACGAGCTCTGGATTTTCCATTCAATTAAAGACGCATCAAACCGTTGGGGCAAAATAAAGAATCAAAACTACAATTTTGTTTAGAATGCTTAACACGATTAGGAAGTCTTTGCTGATTATGTTGTATAAAAAAATTGTTAGTGAGATTTTAATTGCAGATTTTCAGACGTTGCACCACATTACAAAGACTGAGCAAACGTCTCCCTCCATTTTGCTGTCAAAATCAACCTCCCAGGCTCCTTTTTATTCATCAGTAACTCTTCACTCATACTAATTATCCTATTTATTTGCTGAAGAGAGCCTCCACATTTGAAATGGAGTTCCAATTTTGACGTAGTAGGATTTCACCTTTGGTCACACACTTAACTACAAGCACGCTTTTTCATTCCAACCATTTTTCTTTCCCTGTGTAGGCAGAATTCACAGCCCTGGGAGACAGGAGAAGTGAAATCTGAAGAAAGGATGGCAGTGGCCCATTAAGAGACAAAGCTATTTTGGGGATCTTTTCTATATGGGGCTGCCGCTTCGTGCCACTGACAGCAGAGCGACGTGGAAGGATGTTTTAAATTCTCAAGGCTGCTTAATTCCCACCCACCCCCCCCAGAGCTGAAAACCAACCAACCAGCGGGCTGTTATTATCTTACCAATGATCACTAGGATGAAGAGAATTGTTGCTACAGCAGCCGTCCCGTAGAACATGATGCTGATGTGATGGGCCAACTGGTCCAGGTCATCTAGGTTGGGCACCACAACAGGAGGAATCAGGAACCCGACAGCGATGCCAAGCTGAGAGAGCACACAGAGAACAGGGCAGCGTTAGTCCCCGAGAGCAGCTCACACTTGACCTCCTCGAGCGCAATCTTCTCGACACCTGGAAAGACTGACTACAGCATCACAGCTGGGATCTTCCACCATTGGTGCACAACGCAAACGATTCCTACACAAGCAGCTGTTTATGCTAAGAAAAGGAGCTCCCATGATTCCCAGCAGGGGATACAATCTCCGGTCAAGTGTATCGCTGGCAGCACATATAGCAGCAATTTGACACCGTACTGGAAATTCAGGAACACAGTCCGAGGCTCAAGCACGACAAGGCCGCCTCACTCAACTGCCTGCAGAGGGGCTATGATCTGTGCTTATACGTGGGTATTTGGATATGGAAAATAAAATGAACTGGCAGGATTACAGTAGTTCTAATAAACTGTCCTAACCATCCTATCAAGTAAGTCCGAAAGTCAGTTGGGTTTCAGTACAATACACCTTAAAGGGCCGAGAAAATAAGGAGGATGTTAAAGAAGAGGACAGAACCCACAGAAATGGAGCATAGGAGAGAATGCCTCAGGGACTTGGCAGGGCAGCCCAACACAGGCTGGGGCTGTCTTCAGCACTGGGACTGTGAGCCTTTTCTGAGCAGACAAAAGACTGACCAGAAAGTACACAATGATTACAGCTCCCATGAAGAAATAATCTCTTAAATCCCAAAGAAATTAAAAACGTCAGTAGCTGAAATCACTGGCATTTTCATGTACGTTTGCCCAGGAATCCTACTGCTTCCGTACATTCTCAGTCCAGTCTAGTGCCAAGTGTGAAAATCTGCTCATAATCTCCAAAAACATCCCTGAAAAACAAAAGGAAAGGGTGGGGGGGAACATTGGACACTAAACAAACTTGTTAGCACTGAAGTTATTTTCTATATTTCCTTAAAGCAAGAATTATTTAACTGTGGGGTGACAGCCATTTTAAGGGTTTAAAACCTCTTTTGTTATAAAATAACCATTTAACTGAGTAACTGCTGCTGTGTGCGAGTTGAAAGGTCAAGTCATTTTCAAGAGCTCCCCAATTCGTCAGGATGTAGCCTAGTTCCCTGAAGACTGTTCAGCAAGTCAGCTCTAAGAGTCCACTTTGAATACCTAAATGAAATAAACAGCATGGCCTCTGGAGGCCTCTGGGTTGCTTATTTTAACGATAGACGAGAAGCTGTGCAATCGCTCAGCTCCCTCAGGGGGGGCCCTGGGACCGCCCACAGAGCCGGAGGCAGCCGCGCGCTAGAAGGAAGGAGCACCTGGAACCCTGTGCAAGCTGCTGCCGCAGGTCCAGAGGGACGAGCCCGCGGGCGCGCGACCCAGGGAGAGAGCCCTCGTCTCTTCTGCCTCCTGCCACTGCCCGCAGAGCTGGACAGCAGACATCCAGCCAGACCCCTCCAGCACTGCAGGGCTGCAGCTGTGCTTCCAGGGGGATGAGGAAAAGGGAGAGATTCCGTCCTACCCCCTATTTATTCTTGCGTTGAAGTAAATGGAAAGCTGAAAAGTTTGATTTGCATGCAACAGGAAAGGAAGATAAAAGTGCTCGCTGTCAGATCTATGCAATGTTTATGATATAAGTAACATCTCAAGTTTTGGAATTTGATTTGCATTTTATACACCAAGAAACCTAAGCTTTTTCACTGTGGTTATAGAAACCGTTAATTTAATATGAACACTTAATCACAGGCAGTTCAACAGCCTTTTGAAAGAAACTAAGGTTTCCAAATCACACCGGTGTTCGTTTGTTAAAACACGAGGAACCGAAACTGTCTTATGAACTCTATGGTGAAACAAAGGTGTTTATGATCAGCAAGGGGAGGTTATGCCTGATCGTCAGGATAATAAACAAATTCAATATCTTTCATGTGGGCATCATGGAAAATCCTAGATTTCTCTCCACACAGATGCACAGGCGCAACAAACCGACGGTGGGACTTTTCTTGACAGCGTTCAATCTTTCGAGATGAAGGTTCAGCTCTGGGAAACGCATAACCTGGCACACTCTCCAGCCTCAGACTCCCCACACAGCACGGCTGGGTCTCACTGCGATGTGCACACAAACGAGCATCGCAAAACAGCAGAATAAAAAATTCCCCGCTAAGAAACGGACTCCAGACAAGAATCTGCAAATTTCCGTAACCCATTTTCTGTCAACGTGCAAGAGGTCTCAGAGGAACATCAGAGGGAAATAATTTCCCCTACCGGCGCAACTGCCCACCAACTAGCAATAAAATACTGCTTGTTCGAGTATTTTACGACTGAAATCTCTGTAAGTAGTAAATGAAGAGAAAGTAAAAATAAACCATCTCTTAAAATCTTCTCATGCTACAACTAATATTTCCTGCTAAGCAACTGGCAGATCAAGTTCTCAGATTATACAGACTCCAACATTTCCATCCATTTTCAAACCACTTTATCCATTTCAGGGCCACAGGGGGAACCAGAGTCCATCCCAGCAAGCAACGGGCACAAGGGGGGGATACACCCTGGGTGGGACACCAGTCAAGTACGACTCCTTCCTTTTCAAAAGGCGATAGTCAAATTTGTTTGAATTATGACTGGCTGGTTATTTTTTTAAATTTTCCAAACATGTTCTTTGGGAACCAAGTACACACGTGTGGCCTTTTATAATGTTCAAATTTGTGTTTCCCTCTGCAGCCAAGCATCAGTGCAGATTATCCCAAAAAGTTCAGGACTGTTAAGGAGAAGCAAACGTTGCCTGGGTGATTATAAATATTCATAATATCCCAGTGGAATAAAGGAATTACAGCAAAGGTACAACTGGCCTAAATTAAAGCTAAACTTTAAACTTTAAGTTTGTTTTTCCCCCCAAAGCTACACTAATTCAATCACTTGCCATGTTCAAAACTCCAAGGTGTCACATGTGGAAGAAATTCTCGTCGTCGATGCAATTTTTAAAGGAACAGTAAGCTAAAGATCTGTCTTATTGACTTAAAGTGGACTGCAGTCAAGATTCACTATTTGACCCACGGGGAAAAATAAGATTTTTGTGTCTTTCTTAGTCAAACTAGGGTACCACTCTGCCGAGAGAGAGGAAGGACATGGGTCCTCAGCGTATGTCCTCACAGACCTGTCTAAGACCCCACTGCACTGTTCTTAAGAATAGGGATGTTAAACCCCAGTGTCCTGGCTAAATTCCCCTTTGGGTTATAGTTGAGCTAAATGTCAAAGTCTGTCTTAAATTTCCCCTTCAATTCAATTAGACTAATTTCCCACTCCTCCCCCTGACCTGCTGTGTCCCCTCCAGGGAGTTGTGCAGCTTTAGCAGAGGCTCAGATGGGGTGCCTCCTCTGGGTGAAAAACTCTGGGATCCTTCAGGATGAAAAGCACTATACAAATACACTGAGAGGCACTGAAACCAGAAGTATTGGAACCTTTAAAGCAGATGCATTTAATTCATTGTTCCGTATACAAGCAATTGGAACTGCAGGCAAGGCAGGGCTCTGCAATAGTGTTCTGCCCTTCTACTGCTCCTGTCAATCAAGCACTTAACTACGCAAACTGCTTGAATACAAAAGTCACCTTAGAAGCTCTTTCTACGTTACGCTAGTTAAAAAAAACTTTTGTTTTCAAGTTTCAGCAAAACTCGTTTTGTCGTTTCTTCCTGGGTCTTCTGATATCTCAACGAGACACAGACAAGCTTTCACTTCAGCTTGGCAAAGGTGCACCTGCTAAGGCATTTCTATATTTGTGTGTCCAATTTCTAAGGGAACTCCCTATCAAACATCCCGTATGCGTGACTTGAGTTTTTTTTTTTCACGCACAGAGCATGACAGAAACAAGCACATACAGGAAACCAGTCCTTTCAGGCACCCAAGAATTTTGTCTGCGTGGATACAACATTTTTACAATCAGGCTTTGTCTCTTTTTCTTCTAATTTGTCAGGCTTACACCCCTCAAAAATGCTCACAGTATTCCCACAGAAATCTACAGCTTCCTCACAGAAGCCAATAGCCAGACTTCCATCTGAACAGCCCTTTTACAAAACTTGGTTGACAAAACTTCAGCCTCGCATTGCACAAGACTATTCAGAACAAAAAAGTGTCTTGTACTCTTTCGCCCACATCCTCACACTGAGCTTCAGCACAGACCTGCCTTCTGCTACAGCTGCCACGGTTTGTACTGCCTTTCAAATGAACCACAGTTTTGCAGAGGTCAGAGCAGGCGTGGCAGTCCCACCCTTTTGAGTCTGCCTCACAGTTAAGAAAAACACTGGCTTGTAGAAAAAAAAGAAAACATTCAATCATACTCAAAGCGTTCAAGAAAACGAAAAGCGAATAAATCCAAAACATGGCGTGGAGAGCAAATGACAGAGCTGCACTATCCTTGTGAGCTGGGAAGAATTAGGAATTGGAAAGAATTAGGACTGTAAATACAGAGAAACTTTTTAGGTTTTGGCTTCTTTAACGTCAGGAACAGAAGACCTTGCGTGCACTCAAAAAACAAGTCACACTTCAGAGGGATGCGGCTTTTCACCACCAAGCAAACAACTGGATTTCCTGTGGCTGAATGCGTCGGGAACCCCCATTCAAGTTACACAGGTAACAAAACAAACACGGCAATTTTTTTTTTCCCACTCAAGGTTGAGAGCAGGCCAAGTAGATTACCTCCAGAGGAGCACGTGAATTCCGCCTGCGCCCACCATTACGTAGCTGAAAACACAACCATGCCCGGGCCCCAAAGACAAACACCTCCTGGCCGACAAAACTAGCTCCTGTTTCGGGCAGATCACGGACCTGGTTTCCCAAGACGCCGATGGCGCAGGCGGTGGAGACCTCCTTCTCGGTGAACCAGAGCGAGGCCAGGCGGGCAGGGATGCCCAGGATGAGCACGGTGGCCACAGAGGAAACCAACTGGCCGAACAGGGCGACCCCGAAGAGGTGCGGGCCAACGCTGCCCGTTTTGACCCAGGCGCCGGCGCAGTTGAAAGCCGAACCGGCCACGAGGACTTCCCGGAGCCCG